TATGCTGGTGAGTTGTGACTAGAGCTGGAAGGTGCAGCATAACTTCACTCACACAGCTGGGGCTGGGCGCCTTGGTGCTTCTTGGTGCTTCTCCAAGGGACTCTTTCTAGCAGTATAGCCTGGACTTCCTTTCTTGGAGGCTCGGGGCTCCAAGAAGGTGAGATGGAGATTCTAAGGCTTCTTTAAAATAAATTTTTTTAACGTTTATTTATTTTTGATAAAGAAAGAGAGAGAGAGAGAGAGAGCATGAGCAGGGGAGGGGCAGAGAGAGAGGGAGACACAGAATCCAAAGCAGGCTCCAGGCTCTGAGCTGTCAGCATAGAACCCAGAACGCAACACAGGGCTCAAACTCATGAACTGTGAGATCACGACCTGAGCTGAAGTTGGCCACCCAAGCGATTGAGCACCCGGGACCCCCATAAGGCTTCTTAAGTCCTGAGCCTAGAAATCACACTGAGTCCCTCCTGCCAGATTCTTTTGGTCAGAGCAAGTCACAAAGCCAGGCCAGATTCAAGGGGAGAGAAAGTAGACTCTGACTACTGCTGGGGACAAAAAAGTGGCAAAGTCACATCAAAAAAAGAAGCATGTGTTTGAGAGGGATTATTGTAGCTGTCTGGTAATAGTCTGACATAATCAGGAATGAGAATGTCAATTTTATAATTGGAATCCCTTATAATTGTAACTATGGTCATAGACCACTCATTGTATTTTATCCTTACCAGGACCAGGCACTTCCAAAATTTTTTTTGGTGCACTGCTAGAAAGGAAGTGTGGAATGGTCAAACAGGGTTTTAGAAAGTCTTATTGGTTATTATAAAAAGCTTTCCCATGACTTTGTAGATATAAAAGTTCAAACATGAGGAGAACACAATTTGGAAATAAATTCATAAATATTTTCCTGCTGGCCTTTAGGCACATGGCTATTTTGATGGAAAGTTGTGATCTCAAGTTTTGAAAGTAAGCATTGAAAAAGTAATGTTCTCACACCCATTCACTGTGAATGAATGCTCTAAATGAGGTCAAGTTTATAGTATATTTTTATTTGTCGTATTACTTGGGCTGAGAGTAAGAGACTCCCCTCCCCTCACCCCCAATGCAATCTCTCTCTACAAATGTTTGAAATTTTACCAGGAGTGATTATGTGTTCAGGCATTGCTCATTTTCACCGGATTCTTATGTAGCAAATACTTCCGGGAAAGGAAGGGTGGAAGTAAGTAACACTGGATTATGAATAATTTAGAGGAACAGTCTTCTCAGAGAATTCTGAGAGTCCTGGATGCCTTTGGAGGAAGGGGGTGCTGAAGGTAGACGCTTGGCAAGGTAGGGTGGGAGGGCAAAGAATGGAAAGATAGAGTTACCAAGCCCCAATTTCCCTACCTCAAAGGGACTGCTGTCTAGGTGACATGCATTAGGCTTATGTGATGTTAAAATAACCAATTCCATACCGGCTTCTTATTGTGGAGAGAACATTTTGTTCCTGTAATATGATATCATACAATCTGTGTGTGTGTGTGTGCATGTGCATGTGTGTGTGCGCGTGTATGTGTGTGTGTTTCTAAACACATCGCCACAAAGAGTATTTCTTTACCCCTAAAATAACTCCAGCCTCCTGCTTTGAGGTCTTCCTCTTGTAATAACTTTTAGCTTTCATGATTTTCCCTTAGCATGGAGCATCTCTTCCAGGCCTTCCTTCTGCCCCTATTTTCCAAGATCCAGCAGACAGCTCTGGTGCTCTCCTGGGCCTCTGAAGCTGCCGGCCCACCGTGGGAAAATTCCAGCTTGGGCAGGGACCGTGCTATTTGTTCACCAGGTGTTGAACCGAAGGCGGAGGGGAGCTGCCCCACAGCCTGTGTTTCCCTCGTTTGAATAGCAAGCTTATTTCCCTCTTTGATTTTCTTAAGGGCACGTGGTCTCTCCTCTTCATGTGTGCCATGGCCCAGGGGAAACTAATCCAACGCCCAAGCCCCAAATTGTTACATTCGAGGGAGCTGCCTTTGTTCAGGGAGCTAATACAGTGTGATTTTATTATTCCCGCAGAAAGCCGGGGCCTGCCTGGTGGTTCAGATGAAAAGCTCTGTGACTAACAGGATTCTTTCTTCGTTTCTTTCTTTTTTTGGGTTACATTTCTCCCATTAGCTGCCAGGTTGTTTCACAACATTTCTCCGGGCTGAAGTGATTTATCACGCAGGGGGAAAGAGAAGTGGGGACTGTCTGCTCTCCTCCTCGCCCTTGCCAGCCGGGCTCCTGGCCCTGCAGTCGGGCCAGGCCAGCGGCCCCTTACTTAGGTGGGGTGAGCCGAGAAAAGGAAACTTGACCTACAGCGGTGACCGATCTGGAGAAGTCCCGGGATATGGGGCGGTGAGCCAGGTGGGCTGCAATCTGCCTCCTGGTTCTCCCTCCTAGAGCCAAAGGCTCTTGGAAGATGAGACTTCGTTTTGCAGCCAAAGTAAAGATGGAGGTCCTTCTGCTGTGGTCGTGGGGATCTACTCCATGCGGAGTTTAGAGTTCGCCAGAAGCTACTGGAACTGGAATTAGAGCGGCCAGGCATTCTCTCTCTCTTAAGCCTCCTCCCCGACCCCGTAAGCTGGTTGGCAGGACCCCAGGGGATACCCAGAGGCTGTTGAAGGCTCTTCTAGTCCTGTCTTGCTCTCCTCAGTCACTCTTTTCTTCCCAACCGCTTCATAGAGATGAGCATGTGTTTTTGTTTTTGTTTTTGTTTTTTTTAAATGTTTTATTTATTTCTAGGAGAGAGAGACAGCGTGAGCAGGGGAGGGTCAGAGAGAGAGGGAGTCACAGACTGAAACAGGCTCCAGGCTCTGAGCTGGCAGTCAGCACAGAGCCCAACGCGGGGCTCGAACCCACCAACCGCGAGATCATGACCTAAGCGAAAGTCGGACGCTTAACCGACTAAGCCACCCAGGCGCCCCAGATGAGCATGTGTTTTTGAAAATGAGTGGCAGTCGGGCAAATCCAATTAGTGGCTTAGTGTCTTGACCATAGCTGAAGAGCCAGGTGATAAAAGCCTCTCTGGTCTTGACCGCTTGCAGAGGTCCCCCTGAAAAACAGGGGAGCCATGGGCAATGAATAAATTGGAGGAGAGCGCTGATTTGCTAACAAGATGGCCCCACCCGATGTCAACAAGGGCAGAACAAATGTAAATACCGTCCCCCGTATCCGCTTGGGGAAGCCTATGGTGATGAACCTCCAGCCTCCAGCCTCTGTGTGTGGGCTCCATCCAACCCTCTAGATGGAAACCCCAGGTTCTGAGCCAGTCCTGACAAGTAGAGAGTGTATCAGTGTTCCATAAAAGTGTAACCAGGAAAAGAGAGGCCATGCGGCAATGGAAACAGAGGGCATTTAATGCCGGTTAACTGTTTGTACAGGAGGTGGAAGAGCTGAGAAGCCAAACAATGGATGGTGAGAGATAACCCAAAGAACAGTGACAGCGGGAAGCCATAGTGGGGAGACACTTGTTTACTAAAGCGGAGGAGGCATTAGGGCCACATGGTGGAGCACCACCTTGGGTCTGTTGGGTCTGTCTGGTGAAAGCTGGAGCCAGAGAGGAGATGCCAGAGACACCGCCTTTGGCGGAAGGGGGGGGGGGGGGGGGCCGGGGGCAAATACCCTGGGAAACGCAGCTCACAAGGGTCAGTCTCCTGGGATTCTGCTCAGAGCAGCAGAGATAAGGGCTGGCCCAGACAAGGAGCCTTGTGGGTGGGGGGAAGGATCACGTGACAGAGCTCTCAGAATCAAGTCTTACTGGGAGCAAAGCTTGTGTGTGCGGTACCAGAAATGCCTCCTGGCTGCCATGGAATCTCCCAACAGCAGCATCTCCTGCCAGCAGCTAGTATGGGAGAAGGGTAGTGGCCAAGATAACTACTGTATATAGTTCTTGCTAGGAGTGTGGGTCACATGGATGTATGCATTTATTCCAAAAAATCACTGAACTATATTACTTAAATTATATCTCACTAAGACACAAAAATATACCCACATAAAGAACATGGAGTCACACTGGCTGTGGAGTCATACTGTCTGTTTGCTACTAGCTAGCTCTTCCAGACTGAATTGTGTCTCTTCCTCCCCACTCCAAGTTCATATGTTGAAGCCCTAACTCCCAATGTGACTGTACTTGGAGATAGGGCCTTTAAGAAGGTCACTAAGGTTAAATGAGGTTATAAGGGTGAGTCCCTAATCGATAGGATGGGTGTCCTTATAAGAAGAGAAAGAAGGGCGCCTGGGTGGCTCAGTCGGTTAAGCATCTGACTTCAACTCAGGTCATGATCTCACAGTTGGTGGGTTGGAGCTCCATGTCAGGCTCTGTGCTGACAGCTCAGAGCCTGGAGCCCGCTTTGGATTCTGTGTCTCCCTCTCTCTCTCCCCCTCTGCGCTCTGTGTGTGTGTCTCTCTCTCAAAAATAAACAAACATTAAAAATTTTTTTAAATGAAAAAAAAAAAAAAAGAAGAGAAAGAGAAGCCAGAGATCTTTCTTTTTCCCACACAGAAGAATGGCTGTATGAGGATGACAAGAAGGCAGCCATCTGCAATCAGGCTCCACTAGAGAATAACCTTGCCAAGCACTGCGATCTTGCTCTTTGAGCCTCTAGAAGGCTGAGAAAAAAATGTTTGTTTTTAAATCGCCCAGGCTGTGGTCTTGTGCTGCAGCAGTCTGAGCTAACTGATATACTAGACTGCGTGACTTTGAGCAAATCACGCATCTTCTGTCTACCTTAGTTTCTTCATCTGAAAAATGGAGATAATAAAAATTCCCAGGGTGCCTGGGTGGCTCAGTCGGTTAAGTGTCCGACTTCTGCTGGGGTCATGATCATGAGTCCGAGCCCCGCATCAGGCTCAGTGCTGACAGCTCAGAGCCCAGAACCTGCTTCGGATTCTATGTCTCCCTCGCTCTCTGCCCCACCCCCACTCTCACTCTGTCTCTCTTTCAAAAATAAATAAACATTAAATTTTTTTTTTTTAATTCCCTTCTCACAGGGGTTTTGGGAGAATTAAGTGAAATACAAGCATTCAGCATATAGTAAGTGTGCACCGATGGCTCTTGCTGTTCATACCTTTGAACTTCTGCCTCAGTGTCCCTGCCTGGAATTCCGAGTCTCACTTATCAGCAGATGCTCTTTGCAGCCCCCTGGCCTCACACAAGATCTTGCTGGTCTTCTCCCTGCCTCCTGTTCCTGGCATCCTCCAGTCAACACTTGGGATCCTGCTGGCATTGCTCAGAGCTGTCCCCTACCTTTCTTTTAGCTGTCTGTGCTCACCCTGGTGACACCATCTCCACCCTGAGAATGTCATGTCCTACATGTGTGCTTTGGTCCATTTACCTAGAGGCTTGAGGCTGAGCCAGCTGTATCAGTTTCCCATGATACCATCCTTTCTAGGCCTGGCCCCACCCCAGCAGCCTGGGTGCTTAGGTTGGCTCAGCATACTTCTCACCTCCTTCAGTAATCCAGGCTACTCGCACAGACTCACAGGGCTGTGGCGGCTCCAAATTTTTCTGTCTAGAAATGAACTGGGCTGGAGAGGGGTGAGCGGAAGAACTTGCTTTTATTTGTATAGCAAACACGCTGTTTTATATTGTTTGTTTGTTTTAACTTACATTGTGGGCTTATCTGGGTTGGATTTTAGGGAAAATAATGGAAATGATGTATGTGGGGGAAGGGTCAGGGGCCATGGTAACAGGCAGATTGGATACAGCTTCCCAGCCTCAGTCCCTTACGGGGCACACTGTGGCTAGTTTTATGTGGTATTGGGATGTGTGGTTGTCTGTCTGAGGTTTGTTGGGTCCTTCGTAGGCAGTGGTTCTCAGTTCGTAATGAAACGTATCTATTAGTTTCCAATTACCGTGTATCTCCAATTTAACGGCACAAACCAACACACACATGTTGTCTCAGAGTTTCTGAAGTTTTTAGTCTTTTAAAATTACATACATGATACAAGCTGCTAAGAACAAGTTTAAAGATTGAGAAAATCATAAGGTAAAAATGATCCATATGGCCTTATCCTACTCTGTTCCAACTGCCCCAGGGAAATGACCAGTCTTACTGGTCACTGTCAGTACATCTATCCGCATTTTTTTTTTTGCATGCTTAGATGAACGCATGCTCACACAACACACTCCCATTTCTCTTCTTTTTTTTTGTTTTGTTTTGTTTTAACAACAAAACAACAATGAGCTCACACTTCAATCAGGTGGGACTTCTGTTTGCAAGTGACAGAAACTCTACCTTAACCATTTTTGGCAAAAAGAGGAATTCACTGGCAGAAGAATTTAAACCACAAGACTCAGTGTCTCAGTCTTTTGTCTCTGCTTCTCTCAGACCAGCGTTTTTCACAAACTGGAACTCTGGTCCCCAGAAGCCACCCAGCTCCACACTCCAGACTTCCTACTCAGAGGGCTTATTTCTTGCCTTCAGCTCTAAATAAAGCACTCCCAAGAAGGATGTTGACATGTCAAATATTGTTTAAAGTGCTTTTGGCTGCAAATAACAGAAACGCCAACAGTGAGTGACTTAATAGGGTTTATTCTGTTCATGGAACAAGATGTCTAGAGGTACACGGTTGTTCTCGTGGCCCTGTGATGCCACAGGTCTGGGTCAGTTTCTTGGCAATTCCCTTAGTCTTCCCCTCGGGGTTGCAAGGTGGGTACAGCACCTCTAAACATCACATTCTCACTCGACGGTGTCTTTGTATATATTTTTAAGTTTAATTATTTATTTTGAGAGAGACAGAGACACTGCGAGTTGGGGAGGGGCAGAGAGAGAGGGAGAGACAGAGAATCTCAAGCCTCCTGAAGGGGCTTATGAAATATATCTCAAGACTAGCTGCAGGGAGACCGAGGGAAACATTTTTCTATCCACACTCTCCCTCCTCCCCTAACAAAGCAACCTGACAATGACCATATTTTCCAGGCAGTGTGAGTGTATGTGTTGTACCCAGTCCCTAGCCACATCAGCATACAGGTGAACCACACTTACCTATTCTATTAATGGGTGTTAACACTGCAGCAGTGGTTTTATATCAAGTTGTCAGAAACATTGAAAGGGGCTCATCCTCCCTGCTCTGGTCCCAGGACCAAGGAACTTTTATCTTGTTTCAAGACTTTGGCACATTGAAAAGATATGGCAATATTTCATCTTGCCAAAATATAACTATTTCACACTAACCTATTCAGGGCAAAGATAGAAAAGAGGTAAAAATAGCTTCTAAGTAGCCAAATAGATGTCAAAGAGTCACGCATTCCAGCTGGAAAGGGCAGTCCTGTATGCAATAACACTCAGGCTTGGGCTTAAATTTCATGTACTTGTAAGAGAGAGCTTTGTTAGCCTGGTCAATCTCACTTTACTTACGGTTCTAACTCGCTTGGTATCCTAGTCACTATTTCCACAAATGACAAGGGGAAGGAAGCTCCTCAAGGAAGCCACACTGCAGCTCAAACCAAAAGAGGGACCACAGACAGCCACAAAAACAACACAGCAGAAACAACCACCCAAAACCTTTTTAAAAAATGTCCCAAACATACAAAAGAATTCTGGTATTCTACCTACTCCATGGGACAGGGAAAGAACAGAGGTTCCCAGCCAGGAACAATTGTCACAGTCACATTCGGAGTGCTCTTTCCAAGGCATGGAAATGAAGGACTTATTTTGTGCTGTTCTATCTTTTCACGCAGTATTGATTCAGTATGATCATTCTCATTGCGCAGTATTTCGGAGAGATTTCCCAAGATGTAGGTTTCGGATGATGAAAAAGTTGATTCTAAAATCTCCAGGGAATGTCACTGTCCAAACAACTAGTTTCCATGGAGTTTTAGCAGAGAAGTTTCCTCCAGCAAACTGGCTAGGTAACCATAGAGAATGGTTTCTCTGCCTCCCTGCATGAGGGGGTGATATTGACCAGCCTTCGCCTGCAATTCAGGCCACCAGTGCTCCATTCCAGCCATCTGTGCACAGTGAGGGGTTAAGGCAGATAGGTAAGTGTTGAGACTTTCATCCATCCTCCTAGAAAATTTCCAGAAATGTTAGAGGTGAGCCGGAATGAGGGGGAAGGGAAATAATCTCTCTCCAGGAAGAAAGGAATTTGGGAACTTTTCCTGCAAAAGTTCTGTATATAACAAAATGTCATTCATTTCTTGTTCAGTTTGTCTAATCAGGAAATGATTCTATCCCACCTGTGGCATCAGCTAACCAGGATATTAGTGTCTTTGTGAGTGTGTGTGCATGTGTGTGCACGTGCTCCCTTGAAATTTAATTAGCAGCATTGAATAGAGAATTTTTTTTTGCTTTGTTCCAGAATCTTGTTACTTATTATTGTTATTAATGTTACCACTTCATTTTGCCCTCATGTGTTGCCCATTATTTCTTCCTCTGTTCTTCCTGGTTTTGTTTTGTTTTGTTTTACAGGTTATGGTAGGCAAAATAAGGGCCCCCTACAAAGTTATGCCTGCCCAGAAATGGTGTGTATGTTTCATCACGTGGCAAGAACAATGACGGTTGCAGATGGAATTAAAGTTGCTCATCAGCTGGCCTTAACATAATGAGATTATCCTGGATTATCTAGTGGACCAAATGTAATCCCGACATTCCTTCACTGAGCAAGGCAGAGGCAAAAAAAAAAAAAGGTCAGAAACAGAAATGGCACTGTGAGAAAGGCCTGCCTTTGATAACTGTGAAGATGGAAAGGAGTCACAGGCTAAGGAATGTGCAGCCTCCAGAAGCTGGAAAAGGCAAAGAAAACAGAGCCTCCAGAAAGGAATGTAGCCTTGCTGATAACTTGGTTAGTCCAGGGAGACCCATTTTGAACTTCTGACTTTCCGAACCCTGAGATAGTAAATTTCTGTGGTCTGAAGCCACCGAATTTGTGATAATTTATTCCAGCGGCAATAGAAAAAAAATGCATACATGTGTTTATAAATTACATTTAAGACATATTTATGAAGTGTTTACTATGTGCTCAACATTGTGCATGGGAAGAAGATACAAAAGTAATGAAGATGATGTCACACCTTCTCACAATTGATTAGTATTTTAGAAGATGGAATAAGGCTTATTTCTGTTACACAGACCTTTAGCTATCACTATGTAATGCTCATTGCATAGGCAACATGATTAATCTAATCATCCACATTTATTAGTGCCTTTTCTGTGCCAAGCACTGTGTACTCAATAAGGGAGATACAATGATGAGCAGATACAGTTACTTAATGTGACCAGGAGGAATTGTTCATTTCTACCACAACCTGGTCTGCTTCTCCTTCAATCTCTTTCTAATCTCCCAATTCCTCAATCTCCAGATCTACAAAATCGTGGGGGAAGAGGTTTTCAACCAGTGGTGAATGTGGTTGCTGTGGTGGATGTGAAGGGCAGGTGAAAATACAATGCCTGGACCTGCCCTTGGAAATTCAGACTCAGTAGTCTGAAGAAGCATTGGGTGATAGGTTTTTTTGGTAAAAGCTCCCAATGTAATTATTTACCTTGCTTTAGAGAGTGAGATAAATATAGCACTAATAGGTTACAAAAGAAATTACATGCTAAATGTTTTTTTAATGTTTATTTATTTATTTTTGAGAAAGAGAGAAAGAGAGAGTGAGAAGGAGAGGACAGAGAGAGAGGAAGACAGAGAATCCAAAGTGGGCGCTGTGCTGACAGCAGAGAGCTTGATGTGGGGCCCGAACTCATGAATTGTGAGATCATGACCTGAGCCAAAGTCGGACTCTAACTGACTGACCCACCCAGGCGCCCCTTGTTTTCTTATTATCATATAGGTGGTATCATGTTAATTAACTACAATGTAATACAATTATAAATTAATAACAAGAGAGTCACTCAAAATCTACACATTTGAGAATTGACAAAGCACATTCCTAAATAATTCATTTTGTTGGATAAAGAAGGAGTCAGGGTAAAATTGCAAAATATTCAGAATGAAACCACAGTGAAAGTAGCATGTATCCAAACCACAGAAAGCAGCCAAAGTGGCACTCAGAGGGAAATTTATAGCCTAAAGGTTAATAGAAAACATAAAGTACCCAGCTTAAGAAGATACAAAGGAAACAGCAACAAAAATCCTAAAGAATGGATGAGTTTGCAGAAGATTAAATATAGAAGCAAAATTATTGAAGCAAAATGGTCTTAATGGAAGTGATTAATAAGACCCAAAATTTGTTCTTTTAAAAAAATGAATAAAACAAACTTTGGTTATAATAAAGAGATAGTATTAGTGGTAGTAGTAGTGACGGTGGTAGTAGTAATAAGGAAATATGTATATGATGCTCTGTGTGAGACATTTATTCCCCGCTAGGCATGGGTGTGCTTCCCTACATTTCTGGTCCCTCTTATCCATGAGTCAAATGTCGGCCATTGAACTGTCAGCAGAGTAGCCGGTGCACCCATAAGAGCCTCGGTGGAGGTGGGATCCTGCAGCTCCATCCCCCACCCCGTGCCCGTGTGAGCTTTCAGGCCTGGTGCTGAGAGAGTGAAGCAGCCTGGATGACCTCCATTCCATGGAAGCAGCCTGGATGACTGTGTCCCCAAAGGAGGATGGATACTCTGGGGAGTGGCTCAATTGACAAAGCACTCCATGGGAGCACTCGGAACTCTTCCTGAGTTAAGTCACTGGCTCACGTTTTAATGTAGCACAGCCTGCCTCATCCTGACTAAGCCATGTTTCACAAAATGTGCGCGTTCTCAAGTACCTCTCGGTCGTTAGAGAAATAAATTCCTACATCTTAGCCAATGTATTGTGAAAGTGTAGGTGCAGGAGGAGAGTGGAAAAGGAAGAAGAAGCTGAACTCTTCAGAGTTTGTTATTTTTCCTCTTCGTTGCCAGACAAATATACCCAAAGTCCCAATCAGTTACTGAGACCTACTGGCCCAGGTTGAGTCCACACATGCGCATATGCTGCAATGCCTGCAGGAGGAAAGCGTTTCCAGACACCTTCTTCGCTGTCTTCTGTTTAGAATATTGCTTTTAATTTGTCAATGTACTGTTGCTCTAGAAAGATAGCATGACTCACCATCAGCTCTTTTTTTTAATTTCTAACTCCGAAAGACTATTAACGTGATTTATCACAATGAACTCATTACAGCATTTTTCACCAAAATGGGAAAATGGAAATAAAACACAACAGACAGGACTCTGCATTAAACGACTTGTAACTGAATTTGATCTGATTTCAATGCTAATTCTCATGTGCAGAGTGCAATAGAACAAGCCATTCATTCACATCCGTTGAAACGCTAGTCCCCTATTATTTTTGGAAGTACATTTCTGAAATGTATGGAATATTGAAGCATGCAGGGGGTTGGCATATGAAGTTAGCTTGTCTGAGTTCAGATCTTAACTCTACCACCTTACTAGCTAGGTGAAAGTGGGCATTACTAAACCTCCCTGAGATTCAGTTTCCTTTCTGTAAAGTGGGAGCAACAATAGTTACCACCTCAAGGGGTTACGGTGGGGGTTAGAGGCTCCATGGTAAAGTGCTCAGTAGGTGCTCTTGTGGGTGCTGGTGGTGGTGTGGTGATGCTTGTGACCGAGCAGGTTGGAGAGTAGTCCAGTCATATGGGGCTGGCACTCATGAGCAGCTCTGCCTCTTATTACCTGGGTATCTTTGAGGAAGGTACCCTCTCACATCTTCCATGTTCTCACGTAAGATGATTATAGTTATCTGGTACACCCGTTGGGAAGGTGAAGTCAAATAGAGTATTATAAATAGTGTGTAGCACAGAGATGGGTGCACAAGGTACTCAGCAAATGATATTTATTATTATGAAAACCAAAAACTAGAAATACTGCTATTTAGTTTACCTACATAGCACAGATATCATTCAAAATAATATTTCCTGTTACCATGACCTTCCATTCCTTCCTATGGCATTAAATGTCACAATTATTATTTTATGAATTATTGGTCAGATTCTGATACCAAGAATTCCAATATACTATCTGATATTTTTTTGGTTTTATATGTTTTAACACCTACATTTCATGAAGTTTCATACTTGGAAACTTAAAAGTCTTTTTGTTGCCGTTACAGAGATTTGACTTGTCCCCACTGGGTTTCACTTGGAGTCCACGTTTTTTAGCTTTTCCTCTTTTTTCTCTTTCCTTCCTTTTCCCCTGTTTTCTTCTGATCCTCCATCCTTGGCTTCTTCCCTTCCTTCTTTATAATTAGAGAGACCTCCCCACTATAATCCTGGAAAGTCCCTTTAACACGAAGGACTAGATCTGTTCTGAGAAACAGCAACATGCAACACTGAGAAAGCAACATCAAACCAACACTGACCTTCTTGGGTACCATATGTCCATTTAATGATCATCTACTCTGCCACAAAGAGGCTACTATGTCTTCTATGGCTTTTGCTCTCATTTCTGCCTAAACTTCACATTCTTCCAACGCACTGTTAATTTCAGGCTGCAAACACCAAATAATTTTTAACCTATACTTCTTTCTTTGATGCTACTGTAAACGTATTGGCTCTCAATTGTCTCTTGCTTGCTAATTTTAAGTCTTCAAAGAAGATGACACAATTGAATCTAGTCTCGAAAAGTACCTCAGCAATATAAAACAGTATTGCTTTTGGGTCAAGTCCTGGCCACGCCAGGTAAGCATTCCAGGCAAAGCCAACAATTTCTTCCTCGGTTTCCAAGACTATATTCATTTGTTTATTTGGCACCAAACTGCAGGGGAAGTTGAGTTATCTAGATTGTCTCCAATAAAGAAGATTCTCACTTTCTGAAAATGGTATGTTTTATTTCTGGAGGGGACCAAGTACCAATGGTGTTGGTGCTGCTGTTAATATTGACAGCTATTGTGTGGAGCTTGTTACCTTCCCTCTGAAGAGGGGAGGGTCAGCGTGAGGTTCAGGTAACTGGGGAGGGGATTCTTTCTCCAAGCACGTCTGACAAGGCTCTTGGGAGAGCAAGGTTGGGAGGAGCAGGGGCAGACTTGTGGTCAAGGAGGCAGAGTTGCGTACATCCATTTTCCGGGGTCAAGATGCCATAATTGGGCAGAGCACAGGCTCTGAACGCAGACCCAGCCAGCTTCAAGAGCCAGCTCTATCCTTTGTTAGTTGTATGATCTAGTATAATTGCCCAACTTCACCAAGCTTTGGTTTCTTCATCAGTTATTTTGTTTTTTTTTAAATTACTTATTTGTTTTTTAAAAAGTTTTATTGTATTTATTTTGAGAGAGAGAGAGAGAGAAACCCAAGCAGGCTCCTCACCGTCAGTACAGAGCCCGACATGGTGCTCGAACCTTGAACTCACAGACCATGAGATCATGACCTGAGCTGAAAACAAGAATCGGACACTTAACCAACTGAGCCACCCAGGCGCCCCTCTTCATCAGTTGAATCAAAGCAATAGTGGTCCTTCAGGGCTGTGCTGAGGATTGAGAGCAAGCCAGCATGGAAACCATTTAACACTGCATCAGGTACGTGTTGAACTCAGTAAATGTTTAGTATTGTCATGGCTTTTTTTAGAATCACTATTATGTTATTATCCTTACTACATTCTACAATTTAGGAATTTAAGTGAGGAATGAGGGTTGTTTTCCCTCCTCCAGTCAGTTGTGTGATCCTTGATTTCCACCCCTGGCTTTAAAA